TTGTATGTTAATGCCTTATTTTGTTGTTTTCATGTCTACATATAGCCAGTTTGAAAAAGGCAGCTATATCTCAAGAAAGGTTGAACAAGAACTTTTAAGGGTATTAGTGGGGTATGGCATGCTAGAAATGGACATTTAAAATGACTGGATATACAGATGTACAAATATTGGATTTCACATTTAGAATTAAATAGATGATAAGTGGCAGGGCAAATGAATGTTAAATTAGAGTGAATGTTCCCAATCAATATATGTATGGACAGAGTGTCAGGCTAAGTGCTAATTATTATCTACTATTGTGTTTACAAAGGATACCTACTTCAGATTAAATCGAATATACATGTATATGTTTATTTCTCATGTTTTCTCTATAAAATTTGATTAAAATGACTGATTTTTATATTTGTATCTTTAATTGAGTGCTGACTGTTTGATTAGTTTGCCATGTTGTTTTCCTGACTAATTTTCATCATATTTCTGTGAATGCTTTAATATTATTGTCACTGTAGAACCAAGCCCAATACAGATTAAACTTTTGAAGTCTTGAAACATGGTTACCTCATATACCAAACAGGTTATATTTCTGGTAATAATATGCACCTACAGTCCTACGCAGTCAAAATACATAGAATGTGTCTCAAACCATTACAAAAAAACATATAAAAGTTGTTCTAACCTCCGCTTTAAAATTACAGAGTAATCTATGAACCCAGTGTTTATGAAAAACTGTTGAAAGAAAAGTATTATGTTTATAATTTTGAATTTTATTAAATGATTTGAATCGTTCAATAAGTTTTGAAAACTTGTTCAAATATGAATTTTAACTTGATTGTTCTGTATTTCCTTTAACAATTGGCAAGTAGTGTAGCTTTAACTTACATACAACCTTTATATTGAAATACAACCTTTATATTGAAATGGCAATGATGCATTTTAATTCAAAATACCTTCCCTTTAGACTCTCAAGTGGGTGGTTGTGTGATTTCAATAACGTCACCAGTTTTACTAAACACTTAATGTCTTGAATGGTTGAATGTTAAGTTAAACTAAATATGGGATCATGTAATCTGTATATACATATATGATTCTTTATGAAATAATACCAAAAGCTACCCTGAGGGTATTGGTATTGAGCTTAGTACTATATCTATGTAGATGAACCCCTCTTTTAAGGCATTCAAACTACTTCAAAGTACATCTGTTTGAAAAGGTATAACATACATGTTATTGTAGTAAACTTATGAAACATGCAATAGAAATTGGTATAAAAGTCAGACCTTATTTTTCATGTGTTTTTTATTTTCATTTTCTGTATATCCTTTCCTTTGTGACTAACATAGATAAAAATCATTTATTTCAAAGATCAAAGGGAAGTTTTAAACACCTTTAATTGAAACTGACAGTTTGGAAATTATGATGCTATTTAACTGAAGACATTTTTTACAGTTTGAAGCTAAACTTAAAATGTGTTTGACATATCACGTTACTCAATATGCTCCCCATGCTACATAACAGGTTGGGCATACCTGTGTTATTTTCATTCAGGTATGCGCATTTTCATATTTCCTCCAAAAATTGATTGCATTACTGTATATTATATTCTGACAGTCAAAAATATATCAGAGAAAAGAGTTTTTACTTTGGCTATTTTGCAGTTTAACAGAAAAGTTGTATTTTATGGGAGTTTGAATGTGACATGAATGGGAGCTACTTATTGGTGGAGAATGTAGGATTCAATAGCAATTTTCTGACTACATACTCTGATGTAGATATTGACTTATCTAGAGAGTTAAGACCAAGATGAGGTCTTTTTTTTTTTTTTTTTTTATTTATTCAATACACTTATTCGATCCATTTACTACATTCAATATAACATTTCAATACATTCAATACAACAAATCAATATATCTGTGAAATCCAAAAAAACACACTGTTACCCACCATGTACATAATACTATTATAGTTTAAAATCTAAATACATTTTCTTAATTAAAAATTTCTACACATCTTTTTAACCATATTTTCCGTTTAATAATAAAAATTTCACTATTAACCTCTATCATGTTTTCTAATGAGCTATCTTCTCTAAAGTAAAAAAGCATTTTATCTCTTTCAATTAAATTAGTACTTTCTAAATTGTCCCATTCATTTTTGAATTTACATTCTAAAAAAAGGTGTTCTTGTGATTCCTCAACATTTTTACAAACTTTACACATTCCATCAGATAATTTTTGTTTTTTCAATCTTCTTTCAATTTCTATTGCACCATTTATTACTTTATATATGAATTCCTTTACTTTATGATTTACATTTGTCTTAAAAAGTACTCTATACATTAACTTAAATGGGATCTCACCATATTGATTTTTCCAATGGGCTTCTGATTTATTTGTCACCCCTCTTCTACTAACAATTTTCTTTCTTATATTACATGTTTTTATTTTCTCTATATTTTCCCCTAAAAAAGTTATTTTTTCATTCCTATTGATTTTATTTGGATATTTTATCAAAGCTGCTCTTACTTGTACATATTGCATATAAACATCTGGGCCTCTGCCTAATTTATTAATTATTTCATTGTATGTTAAACATTTACCTTCTATTATAAAATCAGACACATAATTAATCCCCCCTCTAATCCATTTTTTGACATAAAGAACTCTTTTTTGAAAAGTTATGTCCAGATTGTTCCAAATGATGTCACAATCTAAAAGATTTTTATTTTCAGATTTTGTTAACCAAATTTCTAACCCCCTTTTCCAAAAAGTACTCTTTACTTCATTAATCCCTATAAAGTTTTCCATATCTATCTTGCTTTTGAGTACATTGAAATTAACCCCTAACTTGGAAAATTCAGCTTTTGGAATTATTTTCCATTTATCCATGCCCTCACCAATCAGTTTTGAAAACCATTTTACCACAAATGAGATTTGAAAGTCTATCATATTTATCATGTTTAGACCACCATTCTCTTTATCTAAATTTAAAATCTCTCTTTTAATTTTCTCCGGTTGTTTCTTAATTTCACATTCTTTAAAACCACTTTTACTCCAGATGTACTTGTAAAACAGTGTATTCAGACGGTTAAGGAAATCTTCCGGTAATATGAACGACTGTATTATATATCCAAATTGTGACATCATTAATGATTTAACCAATGTCACTTTTCCAAAAATTGTTAAATCCCTTCGTACCCAACTTTTCATAATGTTTTCAATTTTTTCCAATTTTGGTAATAGATTATCCATATTTTCAATCACTTTCTTTGATGCAGAAAATACTATTCCTAAAATTTTAATTTTATTCTCTGGATGCAATTTCCATTTTATATCGACCCCTTTTTCTTGTGAATGTTTCATTGTTCCAAGCCACATTGCCTCTGTCTTATTTTTATTTATACTAAGCCCAGAGAATAGTCTAAACTCATTAATTGTATCTATCACCTTTACTAATGAATCTTTGTCTTTTAAAAAATGTGTTAAATCATCTGCATACATAGCTATTTTTAATTCTGACTTATTTGGTAATTTAATTCCCCTGATTTCATTGTTTTGTCTTATTTTTAACACAACCAGCTCAACACATAACAAAAAACATAGTGGTGACAAAGGGCACCCCTGTCTTATGCCTGAATCCAAAGAAATCCATTCTGACAACCACCCTGCATAGTTTATGCAACTTTTAGTTTCTTTATTCTTTATCAACCCATGAAATCATATCCTCACCAAAACCGAAATATTTTAAACTGTCTATTAATAAGTCCTTATTTATATTATTATACGCACCCGAAAAATCTACTGCCACTAATAAACCACTTTCATTAATGTTTTCAATATATTCTATTGTATCATCAATTATTCGTAATATGTTTGCAACTGATCGCCCAGGAATATACCCACTTTGGTCTGAGTTAATTATTTTACATATAACTAGTTTCATCCTATTGGCCAAAGCTTTTGTTAATATTTTATAGTCTGTATTTGTTAACGATATCGGTCTCCAATTATCTAACACTTCCCTCTCCCCCTTTCCTTTATATAATAGCGTAATTATGCCCTGTCTTTGAGTGGGACTTAGTTGTTTTTTTCCAAATGCAATGTTGAAATTTTCAGTAACCAATGCCCCTAGTTTTCTCCAAAAACATTTGTAAAAACCCGTAGTTAACCCATCACTACCTGGTGAAACATCATTTTTCATATCTTTTAATGCCTTAGAACATTCATCTAATGTAATTTTCCCTTCACATTTTTGTGCTTCTTCTCTAGTCAACTTTGGAATATCTATGTCAAGAAATCTGTCTAAGTCAGTTTTATTATACTTTGGTTTAGCCTGATAAACCTTATTAAAATAGAGATGAGGTCTTATGCAGGGTACAATTCTGTACTAAGTTCATCTGAATGTCTAGCTACAAGCCCCTGTGACCCCCCCCCCTTCCCACTACTTGATACAATACAAAGGTATGAAAACTTTTCACACAGAGGTGTGTAGTTGGGGGGGGGGGGCACAAAGGCTTGTAGCTAGACTTCATCTTAAGTGTGGTTGCAGAATATGTTGTGTTTGTATGTAGACAAGTAGTTTCTGTAGAGGTGTTGAAAGCATCAAGCAGTTGCCAACAGACCCTTTCAACGATTGTGTGAAAAATGCCACTGAGACGCATGGTAGACCATAAGGTGCCTTTCAGCACTGGAATACTAACAGTTACTCTTGTGACGTGAATACAAGTTTTCATGCAACTATTGGTATTGACTTATATGTTAATTTAAATCTACTGCAGGGATGTATCAAAAAGAGATAATCTTGCAAAATTCACAATTTCATGAAATTCTATTTTTGGCCCAGGGTCACATAAACCATAAGGAAAGCCAAAGCACCTGCAATTTGAACAATACATATGGTTAACATATTTAGTTGTTTTTTTCTAGGCATATCCTGGGAATTACATCTACTACGAATAATTTATTTGTATAAATGAAATTTAAAAAAAATGTTTATATTTTCAGGACCAACAATGGAGGTCTACCAGGGGAAGGTTTCAAGTTTGTTGTCACAGCTTTTAGTGGTGAGTACATATACAATTTTTGGAGTTATCCCTTTGATCCAAATAATTATTTCCATTTAAATTTTTTTGTCACCTTCAGTAGTGATGACATATTGTTATTGTCTCTCATCTTTTTGTGAATGGTGTTCGGTGGTTGTTGTTCAGTGGTTGGTGTTTGTTGGCCAGTGTTGAGCATCTGTAATGAATGGCAGGTGGTGACATTTTGTATGTTAATGCCTTGTAACCTATCTGAACTAGAACATCTTCACAATCTGTATGACATTCTAAGTTCAACTTAGACACTTTTATGTATGACAACCAGTGCTTAGGATCACCAATAATGTCCTGTCTCTTCTTTCCTCACTTCATGTTTGAAATGTGGTATGAGTGTTCTATTAAGTTCTCTAGTTTCATGTATTTTATAGCATTGATTCCTTCATTTGTCAATTAAACATTTATTTGGACATATTCCATGGTTTTCTTCAATTTCGTTAATTGAATTACAGACTCCTGCACTTTTTCTTATGTTACTCAGTGATTGGATCAATGAAATTCCCCCATTGACCATTCTCATTTACTAGAGTGACCCTCTCAATTATTTAACCCATGTGAGAGCTACCACTCGTTGGAAGTGATCGTCATTTGTCACGTGTCATCCTTTTCGGAGATTTTAAGGTTACCACCAGAAGTGGTAACATAATTGTTATATCTTGTTATAACATTTTGTGGACTTTTTGCGGACAGTGTTTGGTGTTTGGCGTTTGGCAGTTTGAGTTTGGCATTCAGCAGCTGTAACAAATGGCAAGTGGTGACATTTTGCATAATGCCTTGTTGCTATTTGATTTTGATTGGTACTACTTTTTTCTTAGCAATTTAGGTTTAACCAGCATCTATCAATTGCCCGTTGGGTACGAGACCAAATTGTCTTTTGAGAGCTTTAATGTCAAATGTTTCTTTTTAATGAAACTTTCCACGTGGGAAAGATGTATGCTTCACTAGGCTAACATCAATCTATAGCTCTTAACTGCAGTTCTTTAGACATGTTACGGTAGTAAAATAACCATATTTTCTTGAATGTGGTAATTGATTTATTTTATGGTGAGGAAAAATCTGTTTTTACATCTGGCTGAACATTATGTAAGAATCAATTTCTGTATTAATACAGTCTGTAAGTTCTTTAAGGTTACAAACCAAACCACAATTACAATCGACATAATGCCCTTTTAATGCCCCAAGAACAACTGTAGAAATACAAATGTTATATCTTGTCACTCATCAACTGTATACCAAACCATTGAAAATATACAGTTTACTTAAGGAAGTGTTTTCAGTACATGACTTTCTGCTCATAGACACATATTCAAGTATGCCACTTAGCTCTGTTTACATTGAATCTGCCACTCTAGGCTGAGAATTGTTAGTATGCGCTGACAGACAAGTATTTCCAACAGCATTCATTTGTAGGTAGTTATCTTAGCATCTTACAACCCAACGAGTGGTGGATATTGATTCATTGCGCCAGAGGATTTGTTAAACTTTTTATTATTGTAGACTTATGTCTTATATTTAATTCTTACTTGATTGTTGAGGATTTATTGTGTTTTTAGCCAAACGGAGGCTCATTCATAAACGCAATACATGAGACACAAGTCACCTGTATAGTTCTTACAATTGGTATTCCCCTTACGTCAATAGAATATTTATCCATTTGTTCATTTGTGCTCTCCTCTTGATATTGTATTCTGTTTCAGTTTCATTTTTGGCTTTTGTATCAACACCAAGAAGAGGATTGTTATTGCCATAGTTCACCCTATGCAGACAGAGCCTGTGGGAAATATTGGGTGGGGAGCAAATGAGCGGAGGGTGCGGAGCTAACGGTCATTTTTGAATTTAAATTTTGGATATTTCTGGAACTAAGCCGTTTTGGGACTTCAAATATACCAAGATATGTGTATTTGACACCAAATATCAATACAATTGTGAAAATAGTAGCGCAATTCATTCTATAGCGACGCAGTGTGCCTTAAACCTTTCCCAGACCTATATATTTTGAAATTATCCTTTTAATACTGAGTCCCCAGCATTCATAAAAAATGGTGTTCAATGTACACTATCTATACAAATTATTTTTGCATCTTGGAAGCCAGGCAGTATCAGTGTGATTTTATAAAAATTCGGAAATGTTTTTCAGATATGAGCCCCCTCTAAATATTGGGTGCGGAGCAGCTCCATAAACGTAGCTCCGCACCCAATATTTAGAGGGGGCTCATATTTGAAGAACATTTCCGAATTTTTATAAAATCACACAGATACTGCCTGGCTTCCAAGATGCAAAAATAATTTGCATGGGTAGTGTATCTTGAACACCATTTTTTATGAATGCTGGGGATGCAGTATTAAAAGGATAGTCTCAAAATATATAGGTCTGGGAAATGTTTAAGACATACTGCGTCGCTATAAAATGAATTCCACTACTATTTTCACAATTTTATTGATATTTGGTGTCAAATACACATATCTTGGTATATTTGAAGTCCCAAAACGGCTTAGTTTCAGAAATACCCCAATTTTAAATTCAAAAATGACCGTTAGCTCCGCACCCTCCGCTCATTTGCGCCGCACCCAATATTTCCCACAGGCTCTGTCTGCATAGGGTGTAGTTTGGGAGTGGTAGTGGGCATTTGCATTTGTAACAATTGTTACATTTGGTAACCATATGCAATTGGTTATATTTTGTCACGTTAAATGTTTAAAGTTGCTTTTTGCACATATTTCTATTCATTGATAAGGTATGGATTGAGTATTGATTCATATTGAATTTTTTTAAATGTTTTAATGCCTCAATCTAGTGCTATTATGGCTGGTCTTTTCTTGTCACTTTCTGAATCTTACATTTGTATTTCACCTATATTTGACCCCATCCAATAAGAGACTCAATGTTTTACACTTATTCTACTGAACTAAAAGTAATTATGAAATTGCCTCTGAGACTAATAATGACTTAGGGATTTATTATGTTGTGTTATTGAGGGGCTTGTTCCCCTTTTCTAATAGTACACATTTCCCTTAAAGAATAGAAGTGTAAAAGAAAATATCAAGTTTTAAAACATGGCACATATAGTATAAAACTCTGCATTGTAAACTCTCATTATCACAATTTTTATGGCACCCAACTTATAGTTTCCCAACTTTTTTGAGGACATCGATTAGCATTGGGCAGTTGGCATTTAGCAGTTGGTGATCGGTGTTTGTCGTCTGTAACAATTGGCAGGTGGTGACATTTCATATGTTAATGCCTTTGTGATAAGATTGATTTTTATTGTGGGGGGGGGGGGGGGTAAATTGAACACAAACAAGAGTGTTTAAATGTGTTGTGACAACCTTTATAGATATAAGGTTAAGTTGTATGAGGATAGATTATGAAATATCTTGGAGTTAATGTTGTTTGAGATTAGGCGATTAGTTTCAATAACTTATTGTCTTTTATCATTATGTTTGATCAAGTCATCTGTCATTGTCAATTAGGGGAGTAGTTATTGCAGAAAATGCTAGGTGTATAAATGAAATATTATAAGTCTTGAATCAAGCTCTGTCTAACACAAGAGGGTATGTGGATAAAGGGGTTAACCAGATATTTGATGCAAGACTCTATCAAATATTCCAAATGCAAAACATTTTTTTTTCTGAAAAGCTTACAATGTTTGTTCTGAGATGAAGAAAAATGTTTTGTAAACTTGAAAAATATGTTTTTATCATATTATGAATGACATGTGTTTGGAAATTGAAAATTAAAGTTTAAATATATTTTCAGAAATTAAACTTGGGGAGGTATGTAATGAAGGAGATTTTCGCTGTAATAACAACAGATGTATCAACAAGCAGCTCATGTGCGATCAAGTCGACCATTGCGGAGATTACAGTGACGAGAGTACATTAACTGGTGCAAAATGTACCGAAAAAGGTATGTGATATCTAAAATCTAGATTTTCGAAGAGATGGAATTTCACATTTTCAGATAATTTGATTTCATTTAAATCTTAGAGGTGGTTTATCGATATATTGTTTTTTAGACTTAAAACTAGGTGAATTTTCATCTCTTTTTTTGGGGTCACATATCAGGGTCATCTAAATCTTTAGTATTTTCAAAAAACAATATTAAAAATGCATGCTTTATCGGCATTTTGTAGTGTCCTTCTAAATAATTCATTATGGTATTCAGCCCTTTGTCCCGATTCTCTACCACACTTGCATTCTATAACTCTCAGCCAGAACCTGAGCCAGAAGCCAGGATGAATTTCAGCTGCACAATTGAGCATGTGATAAAATTCAATTTCAAAACACTCTTGTATCCTACACTGATGTCTATGTGTACTTGTTCCATATTGAATTTGAAAATTTGTTAATGTATGCTCCTGATGTAAAGACCACATTTGCCATGATTATCTGTTTTTCAAAAAATCTTATCTAAGTTTCATGTTGTGTATAATCAGGGGGTGAAAATATGTGGAGCTATTTTCGTAAGTACAACTTGAAGTACATATACTCCATTGTTGCTGCTGCTGTTTTATTGAACATCATTTAAAAACATGTAATAATTTCTTATGATCATCTGAATATTTTGTAGTGTTTTTTTACCAGGTATTATGCTCATTTTGGTCCCTGGATTACATCTAACGAACATATATGTGTTTCAAATTGACGTGGACATCCATCTAGCTAAATCTAAAAATGGCAGCAAGTGCAGAAACTTCTGGTTGTACTCTTTGAAAATACTCCATTCGTTTTACACCACCTGAGATTGTATAATAAAAACATCATTTTTGACATCTGTGTCACAGACCCTTTAGTATTTTACGCACGATTAACACTCACCACCCACCTACACTATAGATGAGCCCTTTCAATACCACAATGCAACACTTCCCTTATTTTATTTGGTTACTGAGCATCTTGGGATTAAATCCTCCATTATTCTCAAGCTAACCAGTTCTTATTAATCACTTTAATAAGAGTCAGCGATGGTCATTGTACATGTACATGTGAATAGTATGTGTCTCAAAAATTCTCCTTGAAATTATCATAAAGGGAGCTATACTTTCAATGTAAAAATAAACCAAATTTTTGAGAAAATAACAATTATTAAACATCGGCCAATTTTATGACTACTTTAGTGCTTTTAAATTGTGCATTTTTATCACACTTTTTCAAATTTTGTTACAACACAATTTAACTTTAAAACTTGTGATAAAAGCATAGATTCAGAGATTCTTGGCCTTAGATTCTTCTCGCAACACCTGAAATCTGACTGGGTTGTTGAACCATGTCTTAATGTACAATGACCATTATGTTTTTCTACCACACCCTTCCTGTCCACACACTCTGATAGTTACAGCAGGGGTCTTTGTGTTTATAATCAAAAATGTGAAAATCTTATTGTTAATTAATGCACTTTGCACGAGTATCATATATTACATGTGCCTCTTGTGCCTCAGTCCCATTTGATCTTCGGCAACTGTATGGCAGCTGTAGCTTTCCAAAATAGAGAGAAATATGCAGCATGGAATAAGGATACGTAGTATGATGCAGATTCTCTATATCAATTTTGTAAAGCTATAACCACCGTATGCCTGCCATAGAGCAAATGTAACTGAGGCTTTATTTAATTTTGCTGGAGGTTGGACCCATTAGGATAAGTTTGAATCTTATTTCTCATGATGCAATATTTCCCACGATGCAACATTTCTATCTATCCCATAATGCAAATGATTTAGCATAAGACGCTGCTGTAGCTATTTGTCTGTGTTTTATGTTAAACTGTGCGTGTTGACTGTTTGTAGGACCTGGTTATGATGGGGGATCTACTAATTCAACAATAGCAGGTATGATGGTGTCATAATGGTGTGACTATGATGTCATAGTAGTGTGAAAATAAGTTCATAATAATGTGTTATGTTAGGATTGTGTAATAACAGTGTGCTGTAGGGGGCAATGAGGAAACCCAGAATTATGTGAAATTGTAGCATCGAGATCAGATATTATGTTTGATATGACACTTTCCAGAAACTCTCTTACCATTTACAATCCTGATATCTATGACACCTTCAAAGAACCCTTTTACCCTTTACAATCCCAAGGGGATGATTCTAAACTGAATATTTTTGGACTGCATTGTTACAAAATTTAATAGACCATATGACTATGTGAGATGTCAAATTTCTAATGGTGTCATGTGACTTATGATGTCATGTATTATGTCATGCATAAGTATTTGTTCTCACTATTGCATTTTCACACCATTTATTGGTTATTTTTGGGGTTCCTCAAATATAGAAAAGTTCATATGAGATATTCTCGGAAAAATAGATTTGAGACTATTTTAACTTCTTTCAGAGGTTCATAGGGCCAATTATGATCTATAACAAAATACTGATGCATGTTGTTTCCAGTCATTTTTCGGTCTATGTGTAGAACACAAATGATACGTGTAATGGTACATACAGACATATACGTTTTTGGTCTCTCACCAGGAAATGAATTGAGGAAAATGTTTTGGGTTGTTATACTCAGTTTTGATCTAGTAGAGAAAATACAATCATTTCAAGAATTTCCAACTTTGATCAATTTTAAGTATAATGTCACAACTCCCAAAAAATTAATCATGACAGACCATGACATCTCATTTCTTCTTAGATATGAGATGTTTTAAGGAAAATATCTCAAAGTGATATGATCTACTGTAAATTTATTCACAAGAACCAATTACATGATAGGCTATATTCCCCTTGGACTGTATACAAGTCTCTACTCTATGTGTGTGCCTTGCTTTACTTTGCATGTACCTGTATGCTTTTCACATGCTCATTAACACACTCATCTTCAATTAACTCCATATCAGCCCCAATAATGTAAAGGGTGTATATCCTATAATCCTATAGAAATATTGGAAAATGTTCCCAAAACAGCAAGTGTGTGTGTAAAAGCTGCTTGACAGATTGTGTCTCTTTTTTGTCATCTTGAATTTAATCAGGTCATGGGAGCCCTAATAAAAATAACTAGCATATTTGTTGCATGTAGAATTAACAAACTGGTGGTCCGATGTATTATTATAGTTACATATATAATATGGATTATGCAAATGTGTGTGCTGGTTGCCTTGTTATTTTTCAAATTGGATGTAATATGTACAAAAATGGTTCATGTATTCATGCATAAGACTTTTTGCATTTGCTTTCTGACCTCCCATAAAACATGAAAATTTGTTTATAAATATCAGAACCTAATTCCTACGTGTATAAGGTTGGTTGGTAGACAAGGTATCAGTATGTCATTCTTATGACATCAAAGAGTCCATGAAGATACTCATAAATATATAAGAATCATTACAATAGGTATTGTGTAATATATATACTGTACATGTAATGTAATTATCTTGGTATCACATCTATGAAAGGTTTTTGTTAGACCATCTGTTGGATTATGAGTAAAGATTTGGCAATACTGCGGGTTTAATTGTTGTTGAAAGTGCCACCATGTTTTAAACAAACTTGCTCACTTCAAACAAAACTAATGAAATATATTTGGTAATTACTAGCAATCAAGGTGTCACTTTTTGTCAGCTTAACTGAATATTTGATAAGTTTTCCATGCAATTTGAGAACTAAGCAGGTGAATTTAGATTCAACCCATGAATGAAACTCTGGGTGGTTTCGTTTTAAGGCGACAAAGAGAGTGGAAAAGAGTGATATAACAAGGAATTAGTTAAATAAATATGAAATCCAAACTTAAAATTATTACTGAAATGTCATGAATTTTCGTATTTTCTTCATATTTTAGCGAGAAATTGAAAATATCCCAGGACATGAGTGCTTCTTTTTGAAAGTTCTTTTTCAGGCAGATGTTTAATTTGTCAAAGTCATTCCAGATTTTTGATTTTCTCTAATCGCCTAGTGTTATACTTATGACATATATTATGATTGAAACAATGACCCTGTTTTACATCACTAACAAAGATGGTTGAATTATTAATAGTTACCAGGGTATAGACATACATTGTTGGTCTGGAAAATAATGTAGAATACTGTAAAACACATTAAATTTGCGGATATTTTGAATTAGCATATAATCGCGTGAGTGTAAAATCACGAATTACAGATGCCCTGAATTTAGAATTGTATTCCTGGCATAAATTTGGGCACTTGGAAAAATCACGAAAACATGAGATACTCAAAAAGAAACAACATCTGTGAAAATTGCATTCTTGCAAATTGAGAGTTTTACAGTATTATGTCATGGTGTTCTGTGTCATGTGGCTCCAGGTGCATTTCAAAACCAATAAAATCGTTAATTTTTTAAAATCTTAATTGTTCTATTCCTCCTTCTATTCTCTCTCTAACACTGACATTGGGCAGTAGCTATTGTGGAGGTAGAAACTTACTTTCTGTAAACACTTCAAATCATGTAGAAATACCTTGGAATAAAATAGTTTATTATGAACAGAGAGAAAAGACTTACAAATGAAGCAGGCATGCATAATCAGTTAGAAAATAATGACAGGTGATCTGGTCTGGAGATATGGTTCTTATTGTCTCATGAAGCTGAACACGATGTCAGATGTTAACATACAAGGTGACACCCCCTGATAATCTCATGTCACAGTGTTTGTGTATGGTTTCCATGGTAAATAAAGTATAAAGAATAATAAGGAAACACTGAATACATTTTTTATATATATACCCACATAATACATTCCATACTATAAAATAGATAATTAGACAAAATAGCAAATTAGACTGAACTTTTTGTGAGGAATTAGGATATGTCAGATGCCAGATTCAAATGTCAGTTAATCCAAATTTTCCTCATTAACACAAAGATTCTGTCTATGTTTAAATAATCAGATTAAAACCCCTTTCTCTTTTTGGAATGATTAATTGGTTTGAAAAAGCCTGTTTTTAAGTCACCACATGTATTCATTTCATGATATTGATATTCAATATTAGAATGATTAAATAATTATGAAAATTGATCAACTACATTTATATATGGACATTTCTAACACATGTCTCTGTCTCCCGCCAGTAATCACAAATCTCACCCCAGGACTTCCTTCCTGCGAAAAGTACTTTTTGTGATTGTATTCAGAAAAGACACATAAGGTTGTGCCTGTGCATTTGGCAGAGGCAATGTTTTCAATGCAATCTACCATACAATTCTTGAATTTATATTCTGCTAATTGATTCTACAATATTTCTCTGATGAATTTGTAGAAATATTTACTCATTACTTAATTCATTTAAATGTCTATGATTTTTGGAATTATTAGAGTTAGTTTCCACTCTATATGGTTGAACCAATTCGCAAGCGCAATCACATTTTATCTTTATTCAAATTTCCAGAGCATATAGTTCCAGACATGAGCTGAGTTGACAGTAATAAATACAAATTCTAATCTTTGATACTCTGTCAAGATGAACAAATATATCATAGACTCACATTAAAAAAACTAGTTATGCTCTTAAATACAAGTTCTTCAAAGCGTGAAGATCATTCAGTAATATCCCCATTATAGCCTCAAAGAGTCAAGGATACATAAATCCTTATAATGGTTCCCCAAAGTCCTTTAAACTCTACCTAATCAAGCCTCTAGGTTATAAACTACACTCTGATTAGATCAATATTCAACTTTTACTAACAAGCTATTGTCAAACATTCAAAATATTCTATATACAGTGTATTCGTTTTGATGTTTTATTCGCAGATATGTTTTTCATGAATTGTTTATGTTTGTATTTTTAAATCAGATGTTGCCCTTTGTGCTTTCAAAATGCCGATATCGTGAAAGACAACTGAATTTCACTTATCTTAATTCATGACATTTTGAAGAAATGGCCCTTGAGGAAGAAATTGAATTATATTTTATTTTTAACATGTCTGGTTTATAGCAAAATGTGAATGAACGTCAGTATGTAATTTGATGATCATATCAAATTATTGATTAATCTGTGGGTCCCTTGATTAATGCCCCTTGATTAATAGTCTCAAAGGATATTACAGTATAATAAACTTAGTCCTGCAAACAATCTAGAAAACTATAAGCAAGTCTCCAACTTTTTGGTGGACGATGTTCGCTGTTTTGCATTTGATGGTGTTTGGGAGTCAATTCTTGGTCATAAAAAGGAAAAAAATTGCCTGTTGCCATTGAAACCCCTTCTTCTGATGATAGCACTCCTCCAAGCTCATATACAGGACTATTTGACCAAAATTTTACATACCCTGATACGTCAAGGCAGTGAAATAACATACATGTAGCATACATCAGCAAAATGAATGTTCTTGTATAGGAATATATCGGCAATTGATTTGGGAAACAGGGTCTGTCAACTTGAACTCCCAGCAAAATAGTGAATGCCCATCTTGGCAAAATTATAACTCATACACTGTGTAATCACATCTTTCTATCAGCAAACTGACATAGATGTCAAAAGATGTCAATGATTAATGTACAGTATCATTACATTTGTACAGGTATACATACAAACTAATCTAAAATGTCCAATCAAGACACTAAAGACAAATGAGCGTTGAGATAGTGTCAAAAATCTTTTTCTTGAAGACATTTATCCTCAAAATACTGCCATTAGTATGAAAAATAGGAATTAAGGCTGAAAATTGTAAACAGCATGTCTGGGATTAGTTCACAGGTTAATGGCACTTTAGGTTAACAGTTATTAACGGTTATTTGTCAATAGAAGTGCATAGATGGCAACATTGAAAAATACAAAGTACCCCATGTTGAATGTAATGGTTCTAAAAACGTTCAGTTATAAGTCCATACATTTTCTACATCTCTCACAACTATACTCAACCATTTTCATAGCTT